ACTACTACTACTACTACTAGTACCAGGAGCACCTACGCCATCGGTTTCAAACTACTGCTGCTAGCATTGCAACTTCTGCTGTCCTTGCTTCTGCCTGGTTTGCCACGCTCATACTACAGATACACAGTTTCCGGGATGTTTGCAGGTGGATAAAGCGGATGTGCGCGCATAGTAAAGCAGCTTTCGGCAACAAAGCACACCGAAAGCACGAAGGCTTCCTGATATTATCGATGTCTACATATATATACCGACATAAATAAATAAGTATATATACATATATATATATACACACAGATACATAGTCGGCTTCCTGTCATATCTTGGTCATGGAATACTACGAAGGCCAAGGGCGAGATGCCCGAGGGCCAGCAGCTCCTCCGCTGTCAGCCAGGGCTTTGTGCCGGGCACCTGGGGTTTAGGGTTACGGGATTGGCTTCGATTTGGTCTTGCAGAGTGAAGCACTGCCCTTGTGGAGCACACCGGGAGTAGGGCCTAGGGACACACACACACACACGTGTGCAATATATATATATATACATGTATATATATATACATATATATACACACATATATATATATGTATGTGTGTATATATATATATGTATATATATATATGCATATGTGTGTATGTATATATATATATATATGTGTGTATATATATATAGGTATATATATATATGTATATGTATATGTATATGTATATGGAAATGTTTGTGTATGTGTGTATGCAGGTAGGCGGGCGGGCAGGCAGGCAGGCAGGTAGGCAGGTTGGTACACAGGTAGGTGCACAGGTAGGTAGACAGGTGGGTGGGTGAGTGAGGTAGGTAGGTAGGTAGGTAGGTGGGTGGGTGGGTAGGTAGGTAGGTAGGTAGGTAGGTAGGTAGGTGTATTAGCATATGTGTGAGTCTGTGTGCATGTCTGTTTGTTTGTCTGCCTGTCTGTCTGTATGTATGTATGCATGAATGTATGTATTGCCTGTCTGTCTGTCTGTCTGTCTGTCTGTCTGTCTGTCTGTCTGTCTGTCTGTCTCTGTGTGTATGTATGTATGTGTGTATGTATGTATGTATGTATGTATGTATGTACGTATGTATTTATGTATGTATGTATGTATGTATGTATGTATGTATGTATGTATCGTGTCTGCGGACGTTGCCAAGTGGGAGCCAAAAGTTGTATGTATGTGTGCATGTGTGTTTGTGTGCATGTGTGCGTGTGTGCATGTGTGTGTGTGTGTTTGTGTGTGTGTGCGTGCCTGTGTGTGGTTGAAAGATGTGCGCACAAAGATCTATAAACTGCAGAAACAGGTCTGCCCATGTATACAATCTGTACTTCCATCCACTCCTAACCTTAACTCAGGCCTAGCCCCCCGAGTTAGAGCTAATCAGCGAGCCTAGTAGGCCAAAACGGCCAACTCTGAAACCACCCGAACCCTAAAATCCACGACCCTGGAGCCCTAAACCTCGCAGAGGCCTCAGCTTCGAATGCCTGAGCAGAGGTGAAGACGAACATAAATTTCAAGAGCGGCCAGAAGCAGAAGTGCTTCATCAACATCGCCTGGACCTGAGCATGTTTAAGCCTTTGGGATTGGGGCTCATGACTCATCAGCAAACATTCGTGCAATGCATACAAATACGTGTGTGTACGTACAGGTAGCCATATGGAGAGTGAAAAAGCATTCCGGAAACCTTGGTTCCTGTTTGTCTTCATACGACGGAACCTACTATCTTGGGAAAAAAAAAGTAGAACCAAGATGACCCAAGGGTGCCTTTATCAGGTTCCTACATGAGACAGACAACCGACTCTGAACCCAGGTGTATGGACCCATCGACCTTACACCCCCAACAAGCCTTCGCAGCCCAGACCTCCAAGCCTTAAGCTGCGCTTCCCCTAAACCCTGAGCCATCCCAGGGTTTAGGGTTTAGGGGTTTAGGGTTTAGGGTTTTGGTGCTCTCCGGAGCCGTCTGTCTAACCCAAAGTCTGCAAGACCCAGAGGTCCACACAGATAGGCTCGAGGACCGGTCGCGGGCGGAGTTGGGTTGGTTCAAGGGTCAAAACATATGATATCGCATACTTTATTATACAGTATCATAATATAGTATACTAATATACTATACTACACAATATCATACTATAGTATATATAATAATATGCTAGACTATATTAGTATACTAACATACTATACTATAATATACTGTGCTGTTGAGGGTTCAGGGTGGGAAGGGGGGAGGGAGCGGCGGTTAGGGTGTCTCGGGCGTTTGGGTGTTGGGGTTTATATGGAGGTGCAGCAAATGCTGTGGTATGTTGGGCGCAAAACCAGGTTTCAGGTGTCCGGTCTCTAGCAAACTGGATGACACAAGGAATCAAGGTCGTCGGGCTAACATTGAGATAAGCTGACCACCCTCTACTCCAAAGCCCTCTGCTAGTTCTTAGGACCTTTGTTGGCTCTACGAACCAAAGCCTTGTATGCACCGGCCGCAGGATCTCACCTTGCTGCCTGCAGAGGCTGGCAGCGGCCACCAGGCACGGCACAGATTCCACGAGAACAATTTTTGGGCTTTTTTTATAGAAGCCATCTTTATTCTTTATTATTGGGTATTTTATAGCTTCGCAGAAGTCCCAGTCAGCCAATTCTTCCGGTTCTTGGAAGTCGAGGTTTACTCGGACCTTGTGGGCTTCAAAGTGGAGCAAAGCCTAAAGCCCTAAACCCAGAATCCTACACAACAAACCACTAAGCCAATGCACCCTAAGCCCTAAACCCTCAAGTTCAAGCCCATAAGCCCTAAACCCTCAAGAGCCCACAAAGCCCTACACCCTACACTGCCCTACACCTTCGAAAGCCCTGAGGTCCATTTGCCCTACAGCCTCTCGCCTCCGCGACCGGACCGCGACTTGAAGGTCAGCGGGGCCTCGGGTTTCTGGCTTCGGGGCTTTAATGGGGTTTTAGGGTTTGGGGCTTTAGTGGGGTTTAGGGTTTGGGGCTTCAGAGGTCTATCAGGGCTTTATGGTTTTTTTTGTGGTTTTTTATAGGGCTGTGGGGTGCTGTAAAAGCTTTGAAAGGGCTCTATACGATTTCCTATAAGGCTTGTTTTCTGGTTTTAAGGGCATACAAGTTTTTGGAGTTCGCGGGAAGGCATCCTTTCTGTAAGTGTTCTTCTGGTGTATTCTGGATTCTGGAGTTTTAAGGTTTAGGGTGAGTATTAGAGTCTGTAGGGTTTATGGCCTCAGGGTAATAGGGATGTAGGATTTTGTGGCTTTAGGGAGGGATTGAGGCCTTAGGGGTTCAGGGATTTATTTGTCTTTTTCAGAGATGGTTGTTTCGACGACGGGTTCCACTACGTGGTTGTAGATGCCAAGGTGTTTTTTGGGCGTTTAATTTGGGGTGCCTGTCATAGGGGTCGCTGTGGGGATGTGCAGGGCTTTGGTGCTTGGGGTGACTGTGCAAGACAGGGACCCAGAAAGATCCTTCTTTCAGAGGTTCTTTGCAGTTTGATGCTGTTTCTCGCAGTCCCCGAAATTCCCTTGGACTTGTCGAGCGGCACTGACTTTTCCATATACACGAAGTTTGAGCCACTACTACAGACGTAGGCAAACGCGACGACCCCTAATCAGCAGATAGCTCAACAAAGTAAATGTATTTGTACATACGCATGTACATATGCATTTACGTGTAGTTCATATGCAGATGAGCAGATGTGCATACATGTACAGAGACAGACAGACAGCCAGGCAGCCAGACAGACAGCCAGACAGACTTTACATACCTACTGACTTGCATGCATGCATAGATGATCATAGCCTGTGCCTGTCTATTTGTCATTTACATGTTTGATTCGTAGGACTACGTGGCCTGTGATTTGTTGCGGGGATGCTGCCCAAGTCTAGTTCCCTCACTTCATTAGGATTCTCAGCGAAGTTGCCGCATCGTGGGCTCATATAAACCCGAGGACGAGTACTGCATGACCTGCGACTTCGCCGTGAGCACCGGCACTTTCCAGCGAGCGGCGCAAAGCTCGCAGTCCCTGCCCCAGGGGTTGCAGAAAGGAGCTGGTTCGCTAAAAATTACGGGTTCCAGGTTCTGTAGTTTTGGGGGTTCAGGGCCCAGCTCGGCTGAGAGTATTTCGAGTATGTAGGGATAGAGACAGGGAGAGCGAGAAAGAGGTCGTTGTTCAACTTCCTGTACCTGCTTCTGAGTCCGTTCGGGTTTCGAAATTGTCGGTGTGGGTTTCTGGATGTTTGCTTCGGGGCTTCGGGCTTTCAGTTCGGGATCTTGGGTTGCTCGGGTGAGAGAGCTGGCAACTCTAAGCATGGAGGGCCGAAACAGCGACTGAAGTTTCAACAGTGGCAGCGACTACCGATCCCTAAACCCTAGACCCTAACCCTGCCCGAGTTGCGAGAGCCTACACCCTAACGGTCCTAACGTGAAAGCTGACAAGCTCTTGACTCTTCTCCCGGCCCAACCCAAGACCTGCCCAGCTTCTCGGATTTTCTGAAGACCTGCAACCGAGAAGCCCGCCCTCCGTGTCATGCGTGATCCGTAAACCAGCCCTTAGCCCAAGCCGGCCTTGTCCGAGTGTGCGCCTGAAAACAGCCCAACATGAGAACAACCCTAAACCGCAACAACCCTAAACCCTGAACCCTGAACCCTAAACCCTAAACCCTAAATCAAGTCATGGATATTGAAACTGCTGATAGACACGGCTGCAGATGGTCTGTCCCAGCAGCCCGGAGCTCGGAGTTCAGAGCCGGGCCCTCCATTTTCGGGGTTTAGGGCGTTTAGGGTTTAGGGTTTAGGGCGTGACCCCTGGGGTGGGGGTGGGTCCGCTAGTCAGCGGTATATTTCTTAGAGTCCTTTATAGGACTTGCCTTCCAGTGGTTATCTGAGACAACCAAGTGGCAGAGGCTGGTACTCGCACTCCTATAGTACAGTACGAGTACGAAGGCACCACCAACTCCATAACCCTAAGCTAAGCGTATACAAGCTAAACGACTCTCCGGCTGCGCTAAAACCGCTACTTCCGCTGCGGCTGTAGGATTAGGGCGCATGTAACAGAAGGAGCCTTTTTCTGAAGCGCAGGCTTCCCTGTAAGGATAATAATGCCCTGAAGCCTTAAACCCTACCAAAGCACCACAGGCCCGCAGCCTTAAAGCCCTAAACCTTCAGCCTGAGACTCTAAACCTCACGCTTCTTCAACAAATCCTACACTTCAGACACTTTTCTGTTGGATTCGCTCTCCGTGCTTCACCTTCGTCCGTCCTCCAACCTCGCAAGCTCAGGTTCCTCAAAGGCCATGAAGAGGTCAGCAAGGACTATAAGGCTGCAAGAGGGGAGCGTGTAGATAATAGTGACAATAGTCATGTTTATTGAAAGTCAAAGTCGCAATAACAATTATCATTATCGTAGCAATGACAACAATATTTTTTATTGTAAACATGGTCATAATGCTGATAATGCAAGGGGGGTTGACGCGGTTCTTGTCGGAAGATTCTGTGGGTGCGCTTTCGGTGTATCGGACAGGGTATAGGGTTTGGAGATAGTATGGCTTTAGGGCTTCAGGGTTTGGATGGATGCACAAATGCTCTAGGGTGTATTTACAGAGCCAGCAGCCATGTATTCAAGCGTTCCAGGTTTTCCGGGGTGTTTCATCGTGACCCCACAGCCGGCACTTTGGGTTCCCTCGCTTCGGACGTGGTGCTTAAGGCAGTTTAAGGCTGAGGGCTTAAGGTTATGGAGTGGTTGGGTCATAGTCAGGGCTCGTGCTATACAACTACAGCATGTACCAAGTAGGTTGTTGCGGGAGAGTGTTTTTTGAGTCGAAAGTGTGTAGGCTCGGTATTCGTTAGCCTTCCCCGTAAGCCCTCCCTGACCCTCTGACTGTAAGTATTATGTGCACACGAACTTCTCGTGAGAGCACATACTGTCATGCACATCTTGAGACAGAAAAATGACATCTCCAAACATGGCCAGCAAGGTCAATCGGAGAGGAAACCTCATTCACTTCAGAGCGTCTTCAGCTGACTGCAAGGTCTTAGGGTGTTTTTTGCGAGGCTGAAATCTACAACCATTATCAGAAATCCTTCTTGTAAGCTCCAACCCTTAAGACGTGGAGGTTATGCAACGGCTCCAGTGCAAGGGCGGCCAACCCCTGCCCATGTGCCTTGACAGCATCTGTAAGCGCGTGTTCTCCACCCAGCCTTTAAACTTCTTGGTACATGTTCTATTGTCAGCCTAACTGCTTAACCTGCCCTTTGCTCGAAGTTTTTGAAAGCAAGTGCTGACAAGGTCGTTCAGGTCTTGAGCGCAGTTGACTTTTGTGTGGCTTTTTTGGGAACCTCACCAGTTAGAGATACTCGCCTTGAGCCGAAAGATACCGAGCAAACGTCCCGACAGAAGATCCCAATTTCGCCTATCGCCCCTGCCAGCATTTCACTGCATTCACTGCGCACTGCGTATCCATCCGCATCCGGCTGCCTGTATGAATACGGCTATCAGCTATCATTATGCTGTGCTGTGTTTGTCTGCGTGTGTGTGTGGGTCTTTGAGGAAGCTTGGAGAACAGATTCTAGACTCGGGTTCTGGTGCTATATAGCCAGGGGCCCGAGTGTGCCAGGACATGGATGGTAAAGCAGGTGTCGGTTTCCCACGATGTCAGAATTTACAGGCAAATCCTGAAGTGTGTGCTTGAACCTTGAACACCCCCAGCTTAGTAGCTGAGTAGGTAACCTTCAACCTTTTGGGGCTTCTATAACCCTACTATACTTTGGAAGGTTATAACCTTTTTGTTGGGCTCGGGTACTCAGCCCCGAAGCCAACACGAAACGCTTGGATGTGAAACCGGTCTTTCGTTTGCATGTCGGAGCTAGGTTTCAAGTCCGAAACGGTAAACCGATTACCAGCAGTGTTGTGACAGAACGGAAGCCCAGATAAAAATCCACGAGACGGCTACGGACTCATAAAATCGTGAAGGGTTGTACTCTGAGTTAGAGTATAACCCCTAGAAGAGCCCTTATAGTTTTTCGTGGCCCTTATCGTCCATGCATGTCTTAAAGCGTTCGGGTTGCCCGTTTGCCAAGGCTCAAGCAGCAGTGTCAGAGCCGAAAGTTGCGTGCCTGAGTATACTCTTACCTCAAGGACGAAATGACCCTTAAAAGTAGGGGCCCTCTACCCTTATACTTTGAATCCCTATATGGTATATGAACCCTAAAGCCTTTTAGGTGTACCCAAATACTATATACGCTGGCCCCAATGTACCTATTTAGGGACTACTTTAAGGCCAATGTATATTACTATATGAATACATGGACCCTTAGAGTCCTCTTACCCCAGCCACGGATGTTACGCATTCACTCAGTGTCGGGTGAGGTCCTCGTGACAATCGAGTTGCAGAGCTTTCTTCACACGCTCACTGCAAAGAGCTCTCCTGTCCGGGCACTGAAGCAACACTTGCAGAGATTCTGCGGACAGCCAAGATTCAGGCAACGGCTGCTGGCTTTGGGCGATGACATCGTGTTGAGTGATACAGACGACGAGCACATCTTGAAACCTGGCGATGTTCAGCTCGTGCTTGTGAACTTCATCTCCACATCTGCACTGCAAGGAGAAGAGCTTCAAGGTGCTGCAGGAAGTGGCCAGACATCAGTCGTGGAGACGATTCTGCAAAGGCCACAAAGATCCGGATTTCGGTGATCCAGCCCCATTGCTCATCGCATCCGAACGCGGCCACTTGGAGGTGGCGCGCCTGTTGTTGGAAGCCAAAGCTGACAAGGAAAAGGTGGATGACACCGGCGCCACCCCATTGTTCATCGCAGCTGAGCTGGCGCACTTGGAGGTCGCACGCCTCTTGTTGGACGCAGAGGCTGACACGGAGAAAGCCAGGAACGGGGGCACCACCCCATTGTTCATCGCAGCTCAGATTGGGCACTTGGAGGTTGCACGCCTTTTGTTGCGCGCAAAGGCTGACAAGGAGAAAGCCACGAACGTTGGCGCCACCCCATTGTTCATCGCAGCTCATCGGGGGCACTTGGAGGTTGCACGCCTATTGTTGGATGCAAAGGCTAACAAGGAGAAAGCCATGAGGGATGGCGCCACCCCATTGTTCATCGCAGCTCGGCAGGGGCACTTGAAGGTTGCACGCCTTTTGTTGGACGCAAAGGCTAACATGGAGAAGGCCACGAACGTTGGCGCCACCCCATTGTTCATCGCAGCTCATCGGGGGCACTTTGAGGTTGCACGCCTATTGTTGGACGCAAAGGCTAACATGGACAAGGACGAGAACGATGGCGGCACCCCGTTGTCCATCGCTTCTGAGAAGGGGCACTTGCAGGTTGCACGCCTTTTGTTGGACGCAAAGACTAAGATGGACAAGGCCAACAAGAGCCATGGCGCCACCCCATTGTCCATCGCAGCTCAGAAGGCCCTTTGCTCGTTACAGCTTGCACTCACAGTTGCACGGCGGATTGCACGGGCGGTTGGATGCTCAAGAAGGTCAAGGCAGTTTAGGAGCTTCTGGCAGGAGGCCGACAAGGGCCGATACCTCACGACCTCTCGCGATGCATCCCATGTTGAGTAACGTACCTGCACGTATGGTGATTGCAGCGCATGTTCGCGGTGTCAACAGTTGTACCCGGCCATACCTGAATCTNNCTCCCATGTGGCTGAAGTTTCTACAACTGAGCGTGTAAGATGACGAGTACTTCGGAGAGCGAAGCCCTTTCTGCCATGGCTTTTTCAGAAGTTCAATTCATTATGGGTATTCTGGGCCAGTTTTTGCCTCGGTCCATTAATCTCCGACATATGGAGCTGTACTGTCTGGTCGCAACTGAATCTCTGATAGTCAGCCTTTTGACTTCACACCAGGAGTCTCCTGCACTGTTGCCGATGTCGTCCCCGGAACCTAACCCTACCTTCTGGCAAGATGGCCCTTCAATGCAGGAAAAGGGTCAACAGCCTTCCCTGTCATCAAAACTTAGGACACCCGAAACTCCAAGGCACTAAAGCCTACATATATTATAGACAGAATCAGAACTGATCGTAGACCTGATCGCCTAGGGCCGAGGCAGACAAA